TTAAACACGAAGGCGCGCTATAAAAGGAGCCTTAGGTCCCACTGGACCATTTGTCAATCAACCGTCGTGTGATGTAGAACTCTTAGAGTCAAGTCAGCTTGAGCTACAGCTACTCCAAAGCAGTGAACAGCGGGCGCATTCCTCAAAATTGTTTTATGTCTTCATCACAATACAAGAATTTTTGAGATTTGTATTTCCTTTCTCCAATGGAAACTGTCTTTATTTGTGGCGGTAAATTTGAGATCGAAGTAGGTGGTTCGCACGTTACCTCATGCCACCATGCTGGTGGAAGTAAACAATAGATATCTCATTAGCTCCTTTTGTTCGTCTACCATCATTTGAATTTGACCCGCACACGTCAACGGTGAGTGACAAATGAGCCTAGGTCTTCCCAGGGAAGACTTCTTTATATAGCGCGCCTTCTTGTTTAAAAACCATTAACTAACGGGAATAATATTCACGACGTTAAAAACATAAATGAACGGTTAGAACATTCACAACAAACTATCTACAAACCTCGAACAGCAATATTATTTGAGCCTCTTATTTATTCCTATCTAATAACATAACTTACGAGCGTTTTTCATGTAATAATCGTGACTTTATGACTCAGCTTTAGAAAAACTAATAGAAATATAACTCCAGGAGGATTTAACTCCATGGACAGCAAAGAGCTTGTCTGACTGTCTGCTTTAGTGCTTGTCTTACTTCACTAATATTCTAGCAGTAAAGAAATGGGTTTAAAATCGAGTTAAAGTAAACTAGGACAGCTGCTACTTCCCTTATTACCACGAAGTGACGAATATGTTTTATCGTTAGCGATGACAACTGTCATCATAAAGTATGGCGCATAACAACCTACTAATGCTAACTGCACCCATAGTCCACTGTACACTTTCTTTTTGTATCGCACCATGTTCATTGCATTTGATTGGCTCGGCTGTTGTTGGACATGATCTTGCACTACACCGGTAACACTGCACCGGTATCGCAGAGGTCGTGGGTTCAAATCCCCAAGGGATTTGAATTTTTTTCAGGCCCTATTTCCACCTACCAGATAAGTTGTGTTTATTACCGCGAGGAACGCTTTCATATATTTCATGAAACCGCAGTACACATATATGATTTTCATTTTTTCAAAATTGTTGATGGTTTGATTTTCGTCTTGGTTGTTGTTGGTTTTCGGCGTTCTTGGAAAACCAACTAACATTTTATCAATCATGTACTCGTCAGGTATTTGGCTGAAGGCTGAATATTTGGTCCGGGATCTTGCAGCCAACTATTCACATGTTTACATCATAAGTGGTTCAATATTTGACGAGAACGCCGATGGAATCCGAGATGAAGATGGGAGCATTTCAAGGTTAGAACCCAGAGTTATCTTTTTAACGCAGCAGAGCTTGTAGCAAGTTAAGAAAACCTCGTCTAGTTATCGAGGCTGACTGTCAAACATTGTGAATTAATTACGTTTAACAACGAATTCTCGACTAATCCTTACCTTCGTATGAAGGTAAAAATTCGTCAGGGTTTTTATGCCTTTCCTTTTAATTTTGAAGGTGGCTCAAAAACGATACCAGCTCAGTGGCTATTCCTACTCATTATTATAAAATTATAATGCGATGCGACACCAGCAAGAAACCATACTACAATGTGCCCGGATGTGAAGGAAGACTTGACGTCATTTCTTTCATATTACCCCACTTGCCGAAGCTTCCCTGCTCCAAGGTAAGCTTGGTGTAATGGCTTTTGTCGTCCTTGATTTTAATTCAGGTTGTCAGTCATTCATTCTTAGTTCCTCATTAAGTTGATTTTCAAATACTTTGTCATTTTAACGGCTGGAGAGGGAAGATGATCCCTCATCCCTGATGAGGCAAGAGAGTCCTCATTTTTCATACGCTTGAAAATCTGGCAATTCCCAGTTTTCGTTACCATGGTCACCCCAAAGGCCCAAGAACAAGCCGCCGAACAATTTCGAAATAAAGTACGTCACTGAATCCAACCATCCAGGCAGAATCGTATTCAATCGTCACTTTTCTGTTTCTATTTGCAAAGGAATCTGGAAATTGGACTTGAGCGCGCAAAGGCACTTGGGAAGGAGGGAGAAAATGTGGCATCTCTTCCCTTAATGGAACGCCAGCTTGCTAAATACTTCCCATCAGTCACTTCGCTGAAAATAAGAAACGACTGGGTACGAGTCTGCCATCCAACAGTCTTCCCTAAAATGGGCACTAAATTAGTAGCTAAATTTTGGTGCATTTCGAATTCCTATGTGTATGGATTGTCTTCTATTTTATCGCTTTCTTTCTCATTCGAATGTTTTTCTATTGTTTTGAAGCTTATTTCCGTTTCTTACTTTTTGCAGTATGAATCGTCTTCTAAATATCTCCTTGAAAATGCGGCTAGAGTTCGCGACATCGAACTGTTGACAGGGATCAAGTTTTTCAGTGGATTACCACCATCGGAGCAGGCGCGACTCAAAACTATTTCACCGGTCAAATTGTGGCCCTGAGCATTTAAGAGCGTGTCTGTAATTTCCGACCACTCGAAATTGGTTCAAAAATAAATCTTGCCTTAAACTTTCCGTGTGGATAAGGAAACCATTGCCTATCATCGGAACAAAAGTGGTTTCCCTCAGATTTCAAAAGTTTTTTTTATTTTTTAACAATTTTCCGCACGCAGGTCAAATTGTGAAATTGNTTGTTGAGTGTGTGTAACTCCTGATATCTAGTTTTGTCCCAGTACGGAGAAATCGCAATTTAAAAAGTACCACTTTTCGGCTTAGTCAAGTAGTGGCATATTTGACGTAACGACAGTGTATACATTTATCCAGATAGTCTACCTTTGTGATCACACTTGGAAAGTTGATGTATTAAACTGTTGTATTCCAGAATATCTCTCGAATTGAATCATTTTTAACAACGTGAGATCCTAATAAAGATTGCTCATTTTGTATACACAAATGATGTCAATTTCACGATTTGACCTACGTGCGGAAAATTGTTAAAAAATAAAAAACTTTTGAAATCTGAGGGAAACCTCTTTTGTTCCGATGATAGGCAATGGTTTCCTTATCCACATGCAAAGTTTAAGGGAAGATTTATTTTTGAACCAATTTCGAGTGGTCGGAAATTACAGAGACACGCTCTTAATTTAGATGAAAGCAATTTGAAAGAACCATTCTATACTACTTTTAAAACACTACTCTAATGAATAAATAAACTGAGAGGAATTTGAAAAATGAAGAGTGGAGAAAAATGATGATCTATGTGTGGTTATCCTTTAGAAAGAGCAAGCTTGTCAAACTACAAAATTCGTGGTGGTATTTTTCCATCAAAAGGTTTCCTCGGTACCGTTGCATTGGCTCTCGGGGGATGGCCTTATACACAAAATTGCGAGAATTTAACCTTGCTTGACTTTCACGTGTATAGAAACTACGTACACTCCTAGACATAACTGGAAAGTTCCAGAACAACGCTTATGATGTTCGTTCAACCCATCCCCCCTTCCAATTTTGTTAATTGCTAATTGTTGCGAACCTATATCGAGAGGGGGGGGGCAATAGGTGTCAGGAAACTGTGTCTGGTGTCTGGGAGTATATCTGAAATGCCATCGATTGTCGAATTTTGCACCCAGTCCTCAAATAAGTTTAATCAGTTACTGAAGATGACGCTAATTCAGATCGCTTAACGAATTTAGACCAAATTATTTTCAAGGGTAATTTTGTATCGCTTGTTCTCTTAGCTAGATGAGAGGTATTGAAATTTTGGCTACTTCTGCAGGCTCAAGGCACGCAACAAGTTGAGTAGAGTAGAGTAGACTTTAGAGTAGACTTTATTGGAGAGGGTGACATTTGACAGTAACTAAACTGGTAACCTAATGGCCCTCAAAGTAAATACAAGAGAAAATTAATCAAAAACTGACCTACAATCTATCAAACATAATTTATATACGTATTTCTTGTAGCGAGGACAACTTAAATTTAGATTACAGAATCTGGTTTTTTTTATTATAGATGTCAGAGTTTTTGATTAGTAATAAGTCATATATTCATTGTATATAATTTATATAAAAAGAATATAAAACTACTAGCTAGTGATAAAACACTGAGTAATAAATTGATTTTAAAAATTGATTTATAGAGTGATCCTTTAAAATGTTTTGCGCTAGGACTACGTTTAAGATATACATTTAGCTTGTTCCATTCTTGGATTGCTCTTACGGTTAACGTCCGGCCACCTTCCGTACATCTCTTGTATCGAGGACAACTTAAATTTAGATTACAGAATCTGGTTTTTTTATTATAGATGTCAGAGTTTTTGATTAGTAATAAGTCATTTATATATTCTGCAGTATTGCCATTAAGTCTTTTGTAGGTTAAGGTACAACGATTTTCATATGACTCCGCATAGAAAGGAATCCAGTTTAAAGTATTGAATAAATGAACAGAAGGGGCCGTTTTTTCGGCATTTAAAATAATTCTAGCCGCACGTTTCTGAAGACGAAAAAGTTTCTGAAGATTTTCCTTACTACAAGAGGTCCATATCGAACTGCTGTAAAGGAAAACAGGTTTTACAATGGTGGAGTAATAAATTTCACATTGATTCCGTTTTAGATAAGGACTTATGAAAGAGACCTATCCGTTTCACAAGTTTTTTGCTCAACTCCTCTATCTGACGATCAAAAACAACGGGAAACGGTAATTATATTTCTTCTTGCTTGTTCAAGGCGGATTGATAGCCATTCCGCTAGTCTCGGTTTTTTCGGGCCAAAAGACGAAGTTGACAAAATTCGTAGCCGAACAGCCATATTCTCTCCTCCTGTTAACATACATTCCATGACAATTTTTCTCTCGCTTAGTGCAAAGCTTGGTTTGGGGTGGACGAGAGGCTCTAGTTCGAGGCGCATAGTACTTTCTAATATACCAAACCATACTCAATAATATATCGCCATATAGAGCGTTTTCACTCACGTGACCAAATTTCTTTATCGTCATGGTAACAGACTTCATCCGCCATGTTGGTGTTCCATGATAATCAGCTCTGAGTATTGCGACAGGAAACATTTGGAGCACATTTTATGGTTTTGAGAAGACAATCGTGTAATATTTATATTTTCGTTATCACAGTCCTTTGCCTTGTCATTAGCTGTGGAAACAAAACAGGAAAGAAGTGGTCTAACGTCGAAAAAGTAATATTTTTTCGTGTCCCACGCGTTCAGTATAGTCAAGGAGAGTACACCGAAGAACTTACTTCTGAGCGAAGAAGAATGTGAATCTGTGCGATAAGTAGAGATGACTTAACTGATGATATTTAAGAACGCGATAGGGTCTACAGCCGGCACTTCGTTTCGGAAGAAGCTGCGAAAGATTGGGATCGATTCAACGTAGACTGGGTCCCTACCCTCCATCTTGAGCATTCAAGTATGCAGGTCCATTGCATCGGGAAACTATTTTATTTTCACTATAATAAAGTGGGTATTCTTCCTCTCCAAAACTTTTTTAACTGTAGATGTACCTTAAGCAGTCTAAAATTTAGGAAACATTTTCATTACACCAGATTTTAAAGACTGATATAAATGGTTTCTCATTTTAGGGACATCAAATTGCATTGTTTCAGGGTGTATACCATAAGCAAGGCATGTAGCAAAGGTGGCAGCAAATATTCCACAGTCACTGCTATTTGTCTGTTGTTGCACAGGGACAACTTGAAATGCTAGTAAAATTTGAACGTCCAACAAGATTGAGTACCTGCTCTTGTACTTCATTTCGAATGTTATGATACAAACTGTCATACAGGTTGACAGTGCCATCTTCACACCCTACTGAGCTTACACATACCCAGTGGGCATTGCCAGTGTGCAGAATCTGAATAAATTCCCCAATAACCTGATTAAGTTTCTAAAGGGGCCTAAAGTTGGTCTCTGAAAGCCCTCCACATCTGGATTAATGTTTCTTAGACAAACATGTACTTCATGGATAATATCACAGTCAAGCCAACCGTTGGGTGATGAAATCAATTGGTAATGCCCATCATCCAGCTTTGCAAGTGATGCTGACTTTTCTGAAGAGTATTTTGAAATACCAGTTATCGCAACACTATCATCAGATGCATTGAAAGTGTCACTAACAACCTTTGTTCAGTTTTTCCTCCTGATTTACACACCATACATTCCCAAGTTGTCATTGCATTGTTTAGCACCTGCTTGAAGTAAAAGCAGGGCAAATGAAAAACTTTCTACCTTGACAAAATGGGTTGTGGGATTTCAGCAGTTTATCTGAACAGTGGGTTCTGTTTGCATGTGCAGATAAAATCTAATTTGAGAGCTTCATCCAAAATATCTCTTGTCTGTTTGCATTTTGATTTTTCATTTTTGGCTGCTGGTGTTTTTAGTCACAGGGGACAAACCACTTGTTAGGTGCTTTTGTAATTTTGAACAAGATAAATGAAAAGTAGAGATGGGACATGCTTGGTTTGTGCATGTTACCACGGGCCCTCTAGCTGCCAGTCTGCAAAAACAAGCAAAAACAATTGGGATAAGGGGATGAATGAGACAAACTTCACTTTTGAGTATACCACCTTCCCAAAATCTCTTGTAGCACACAATATCTCCAGAAGTGATTAAGTTTGGAAACAACAGAGTGCCAGTGTCTGACATCAGGCAAAATTCTTTCACAGAAGAGATCAATTTGCTCACGAAAACCACAAACAACAAAGTCACAATAAAGCCTTTCAGCAGTGAATATTTGCTGTTGGATTTGGTAAAAGTAGGCATGAGTTGTATTTGTCAATGTACAGCTCCAAGTCTATATCCTTTAAACAATAGGGGCTTTTGACCTCCCCACATCCATTCCCACAGCAATCAGACCTACGCAAAACGTCAGGTGTGGCCTGTAACCATGGATATTGTTTATTGATAAACGTGCCATATTTCGTTACCTGAAAGTTGATGTGCTTTTCCTTCAAGATCTTTTCATAAGTTTCAATAGCAACACTTTCATGTTTACAACCATGTTCTGTAGACTTCTATACGCCTTAAAATAGTCTTTACTGTAATAACTCGTGTCAATCACCAAAAACAATAAATCCATCGATTCGACCAGAGGCAGGCACTCTGGATCGTATTTTTTGTCTGAGAACAAGAGAGGATCGATTCCAACACAAGAAATCTTCTCTAAATAACGTTTTTTCACGTGGGGATCGAGCGTGTTCGCATAATCTGAGAGAGGATATCCCGCCATGTTGAAAAATGTAGAACACCAACATGGCGACTCAACTTTCCCGCGAAATTTGTGACGCCGTGCAAACGCTCTATAATGCATTGATTGGCTTTGGACTTCTATAAGGAAGTAGTCATACACTTCTTAAATTTATCATCTTGGAAGGAAAGATTAAGGAGATAGGCACAACATGGGTTTGTTTACTTTCTTTTTTCTAGTTAAATCTAAATGTCAGTCTTTTCCCAATGGACGTGAGCATTCTGGTCTGACCAGACAACAGGCTTATGTTAAATTTGTCATTACGCATCAGCTACGCTCTATAGTATATCGCCATATAATGCATTGATGGCTTTGAACCCGACCATATTTGAGGGGGATAGATCACTGCTTACTTGGCTTCCTTCTTGGGCAAGGATACTAAATAACTAACTAGTTGAGTTGATTTTTCAAAGCCATTGTTTCAAAAATGCAAGTCCTTGATGTAGGTATACCGACCCGCACTCGAGTCTGCTGTGTCAGCTGGTGCAATGATTACTCGAAGCGTTTCTTGAGTTCCGAGATACGCAGAAGTGGTTTCATTTCCAGACGTGAGTTTTTTGTACCGCTGCTCGGAAAATATGAGTGTGAATATGAAAACGTGTTACCTGGGTCGTAGTCTTACTACCGGCATGAATAACTAACGAGGCACAGTAGCCTCTGGGGAAGAAGTAGTATAAATATAACACTGTTGAACGTTGGCCAGTACAGACATTTCAGCGAAAGTTGTGGTTTTCCAGGTTTGACCGTTATAAAACTTCTTTTAAATAAACAAATATTCAAACTCTGCACTTTTCTCTATTGCACATCTGCAGTGATGGGCTATGCCCTTTGCAGATCTTTTCGCTCTTCAGTTTTTGTCCGAAAATGAGCTTTATCCATCAAAGTACCATAAAGCATTCAATTATGATACATTAAATCATGATCGGAGTTATAATTGTTTGCTCCTGTTTCGCATATGTAACACTCGATCTTAGTTCCTGTAGCCGTGCTTCACAGTCCTAGGTTTTATTTTTTGCGTTTTATTTCAGTAGACCTCATTTTGAATTAATTAGCGTTATTCCGTACACGAGAAACATGTTTCTGAACTATCAACATTCCGCTTACATTTGGTTCACGGATCGGTTGCAGACATATATTTAAACAAAAATCTTTTACTTGAAGGTCGGATAAATTCAAATTGACTGTGTAAATAAACAATCAATAATTGCTCAAATTGCTGTCAACATATGTACTGATGTTGTTTTTCAAAATTTGGTACTTTTTATTGGTCCGCGTGTTTTCAATTCGTGGCGCGACGCTCCGAGATTCGTCTGAAATTTTGAGCTTCAAATGCGGCATTTTGGCCACCGGAAATTGTTTTTCTCGTTGCCATGTTCCCACAAATAACGTAGCTCCATTCTCTGCCTTTAAAAGCACACACAACCCACAATTCGTCTATTCGCTCCGACGAAGGGCTAACGCTCGAAACGACAGCTTTTGTAATCGTTACGGTGGCCAATTTACCACTTCAACTTTGTCCATGCATCCAAATTAAATAATAACCTCAGGCTATAATTGGGAAAACTATATCATCCGCATAATCAACCGGTCGGTTTGAAAATTACGTAATAGTGCGGAACGATTTAATTGCATGACCTAAATATTCACATACAAGTTTCGGTTGAGCTCGAAATGATTTTACTTCGCAGTTTTGCAAGTAAAGCACCAGAGAGGTGGCCCATTCGACAATTATTCACCGTTCGAGCGATATTGCCGGTTCGTGGACTCACGAATTACAACCAGTCAGTAAATTTGGTTACGTTAAAGAAGCCGTCGGGGGCATTTCAGTGGATCTTCAGTAGCACGAAACATTTCGTTGTCGATGAATATTCGAACGAAACACGCAACGTAATGCCCGGCACGAGGAATATTACGTTTGGAGGTAAAAAGGGAGTCTGTACATCAGATGAAGCGATTGACTATGGTACACTTCCAAAGTTTCCAAGCAAACCTCCGGGACTGTTTGGTTTATTTGTGGAAGAAAATTTTTCCAAAGTCCAAAGTGGTGTTGCTGAAGGAAAAAGCGCTACTGATATTAGAACAGAGTTGTCCATCAAATGGAAGAGTCTTTCGAGTGTTGAGAAAGCGCACTTGAAACACAAACATGATGTTTTGAAAGAGGAATACAAACAAGAAGTCATGAATTTCTGGAAAGGACTGAACCCCGAGCGTCGAGTTCTTCTGGAGAAATCGCAAGGTCCGAAATTACGGCAACTCGCACATGCAAGGCGAGAGCTTTTAGGATACCCAGAGAAGCCTCCATCTCCCTTTCTGCTTTTCGTGCAGAAAAACGCCAAAAATGTGAACGCTTCGTCTGTAATTGAGCGAACGAAGATATTGGGTAAAAAATGGAAGGAAATGTCGGCTGATGAAAAGGAAGTATTCTTCATCGAAAGCCATAAAGCGAACCAACAGTACTACCACGACGTGGCTAAATGGAAAGAAAAGCACCCTGAAATCGCTTGAAATAAGGAGGTGTAGTTGAAATGTTTAATGATGTTGCAGTACTGTAGGTGACGAATGATGAATGTTTAAGAGACCCTGCCTTCCTAAGCGACAAAGTTTTAAATTGGCGTCGATGGTCACAGCAAATTGTGTCAACACCGATCGCAGTAATCTTTTGTTTTTGATTGCTTTAGAAGCTGACGCGTGATAGTCGACTTTAGAATTTATCAGCTGCGGTACTAAGTTCCGTGGGAAGATATTTATTTAGCGAACCGTTTGCATTGAACATAATTCAAACGTCCTCGCGTGTTGTGTCCATAGTGTATCTGATAGTTGTTGTCAATAATTTATAGCCGGGTTGTGTGGAGTAAAACTTTCAGTTTTCTGTATTCTACGTCTACTTGTCTTGAAAGTGGAGTACATATACTCTGCAGACATGATAATTACTATTATCCTAGAGGTTATATTTCCCTGGCGGAATTCATCAATTGCAATCGAGTTGCCCTTCGTTACAAGGATCAATTATAAACGCACATTTGCGCTTTTAAACTATTTCCTCAAGGGAACTTATTCACTGTATAAAGGCCTGAACCACCCTCCAATGGTTGCAGTTTCAGTACTATTTGTTTACTAAGAAAGGTTCCATTTGGCTAAGATTGGTTACTAACCAAACGTTTCTGCCACATCAAATGCAAATATCCAACGATTGAATTGAATTTTAAAGGCCAACCTAAAAGAAAGAGACCTGCTCGTGAGGCTACTCGGCTGAGAAGAAATGAAAAAAGTCTGATGGCTCATTCTTGTTAGTTGCGATGTTTCATCCAAAATGAATTTCAAATTCGCAAAATTGCGCTATTGAAAAAAACCCGCAAAGCGTCTAACCGCATTCGGATGTTTTGTTTAGAAATGATAAGATGCTAATTTGAAGAGCTCCATAATGCGTATCATGCTCCCTAGGACCATGTTATCTATAATAATAATAATAATAATAATAATAATAATAATAATAAGCATTTATATAGTGCTAAGTCGCCTACTTCTTCATAGCGCTTTACAATATCTACTATATGATTAAAAAAAATACAAATTAATAAAAAAAGAGATTACATAATAATTAAAAAGGAAATTAAGGTATAAATTGTTAACCAAAGGCATGTTTAAACAAATAAGTCTTCAAGTCCTTTTTGAAAACAGCCAAAGTGTTTGATGATCTGAGTGATAAAGGTAGTTCGTTCCACAGTTTGGGGCCAGCAGCCCCAATATAATGGTGACTTTGTCCTAGGTAGACTAGATGACATGACTTGAAGGTTTACCAAATATCTCTTGACAGACTTCATGGACGGGCATTTACGAGATACACGTAGTTTGGTTTCTTCAATT